GTTCGGAAAGAATGAGCACAGCTAATCAAGGGCCATTCCGTCCATGCCTACCAGGGTTTGCAGCAGCCAGCACAAAGCTGATCAACCTCAGTCAGGCTCTTGAAGCCTGAATGGATAAGTTCACAAGGCTGTTTGATGTTTGCGTGATTTGGCTTCTCTGATCCTCTCCTTTTTTTCAGTGAAAGGAGATGGAACTTAAGAAGGTAGTTGACTCAGATATTAATGTCAGATTTGGGCCCCTTAGAGGCCTGAAGATTTGGACTTCATAGGTTTAAAGATGTGTTTCATAACTCAAGCCCTTTTGAGAGAAGTTCTAGTATATTTCTATAGCAGTGGTCACCTACCAGTGAATCTCAGTCCACCAGTAGATCTTGGAGCTTCTTGGAGTCGATCTGAGGCTGGGGTGGAGGCTGAGCGCCCACGCACGTGCCCCAGCCCAGCAGGTCAGTCCATGGGGGAGGGAAGGGGTGTGGGCTAGATTGAGGCCCCTGCGGTGAGGGTCAGTGCCGCAGAGGCAGGAGCAGGGTTCAGTTGAGTGGGGCCCTGGCCAGGTGAGACTTACCTCCTGGGGAGGCGCACCCCCAAATATTTTTTTTCTCCCTGCCTCACTCTGCCTCCCCCCCTCCCCACAGACTTACCTGCTGGGCACGGGGGGAGGAAGGGAGGGCGTTGGTGGCGGCAGTGTACGGTAGAGTTTGAGTTTCTTTTAAATGCCGAAGGTGATCTCCTACTTAAAAAGGTTGGAGATAACTGCTCTATAGCCTTTTGCCACACATGCTGGCCCTGTGTTCAGTTTGTACATAATTAGAAATGCTCTGTAGAGTTTTGTCAAGGTCTGTGTTGGGGCCCAGTTTGAATTTAAAGTATGGGATAGAGATATATCAGTCTTTAAGAAGCCTTCAAGCCCAACACAGCATTAGGTGTATGCTTCTGGAGTTTGAAGCAGCCTACTGCTGGCCATTGTGAAAGTAATACAGGATCTCTTATTTTTCATCAAAGTTGTTCTCTGGTGATTTAGAAATTCTTTGTTTCAGGCAAATAGACCCATCACTGGATTTCCATATGTTGTATTCCATCTAATCTTTTCCTGCATTTTCCCTATGGCTGGACTAGTGTTGTATTAAATCTTCTTTTTGTTATTTGATAAGGGCCAAATTTCCTTTTGTATTTGGTACATTTCTGGTGTTAGAATTATTAGAATCTCTGATATTAGTCTCATTGACTAGTGAGAAGTAGCCAGAGGGATGTTATGGAGTATAGCAGCCAAAGGGATGTGGCCTGAAATTGTGGTAGATAGGATTTTATTGCTCCATTGAGTTACACCCTGGGTTCTCTGTGCTTTTAATGCATCACAGTGCAGTATCCTCAGGATCAGGCCATAAAGTAGAATTCTCAAGATTTTGTGGAATCAAAATGGAGCTGAAATGAATACTTGTATTTTAGGCATGCATTATTTTGTCCTATCTGACACACACGGATGTGTTAGGGGTAAATGAGAATGTTAGTAAATAACCACTATTCAAACACTAATCACCCGAATCAAAGATTTTCATGTTGCTAGTGTGGCTAAAGAGTGTTTTGTGACATATACAGGAAGAAGCCAGATCTCTCTGCTACACTCTGTATTAGACTGGATAAAAGCAAAATTTACTGTTGTATTTGTTGTTGTTATTTTTGAATTCTTTGGTCATTTTCCTCTTCGAAGCTGCCATTATCATGGATGTCAAATGACTTCCCTGTCTAACTGTTATGCTGTGAAACCATGTTATCTGTGATCAGCTTAAGATCAGTTTGATTTTAACCAATTTTAAGAAGTTATTTTACTCCAAAAGTATATTATAGTATTTCTCTAAGGCCCCTCCCTACTGAAGAACCTTTATGTGCATACTTGAATTGTTTCATTCACACTGTTATGCTCACTGAAAGGTAACAGTGCTGTGAAGGAAAAGAAGCATTAACTATAAGTGTGCCCTGAAACCTGAAATGTGAGGCTACTAATATTAAACATGAGCTAAAATGAAGTCTGTACCAAAGTCATGGTTGGGGGTGGGGACGACCCTAGTTTCTGTCTGTATTAGATTACCATGCCATCATGACTAAACCCAGATCTAACCAATCAAGTCTTCTGGTTTTGTGTTTTTTTGCTTTGGTATAATGTTGGGATCAAATGCTGCTTATCAAACATTGTCATGATTTGGTTTCAGATTTTTCTCATTTAAACAGATGCAGTATTGTAAGCTTTCCTCATGTTGCCCTGCCTGTGTGCAGCAGCCATCTATCTGATCTGATCTGATCTTTCAGTCCCTGTCCTCTGCTAAGTTGGTTAGTTTTGACAGCGATTCTGAGATTTTGACACTTGCCCATTTGGAAATAGACTTAGATCACCACAAATTCATTCCTATCCTATAAGCAATTTAACAGCTGTTGGAAGGTAACTTTTCAAGTTTTTACAAACTTACTGACTTGGGCTGCTTACCAGAAGATGCTACTGCCAGTCAGTCATAGATGCAGCATTCCCAGTCTCTTGAAAATTTTCACTGAAACAGCTAAGCTGCTAATTTTTAGATGTCTCCTATAAATGCCACTCCTGTACTTTGCAAAAGGTATAACCAATTTTATTTGTATTTTAAGGTACTTCATTAGAGCTGATTAGGTCACCACCTTCAGTTAGTAAGTGTATTAAATAAATATTGTATTTTTAAACTAATTAGTTCAAAGATTCATATAAATATATTCTGAATAATTATTCCCATAACTTTTATGTCAGGAAGAAAGGATTCTAAAAGTAGTACAACTAGAGACTCACCTGAAAAAAAGTCTAGTTCATCACATGTGAAAGGACACGGTAGGAAGGATACAGTAGAAAAACAGCTAGGTAAGGAACAAAATTGTCTGTTAACCAGAGTTTGTATTTTGATAATGCAATTGGAATTTCTGGTTTTCAAGGAAATGCCTTGGAAGTTTTTCCTTTTTCTGGTTTAGACAAAAGAGGTATTATTCTTCACGCTCCTCACTCTTGGTGTGTAACATCCCCTCTATACTGACTTCTCAGCAGAAATGGGTAATCATGGTATCATTCTAAACAGTGTTTTGATTGCATGTATTGATATCGTTTCCCTCGGTTCCGAAACTGATTTCTAGTTAGTTATTTCCCAAGTGGCTAAGGAGAAATGCTAACACGTTTGCATCATACTGTGGGTAAAATTTGGCCAGTTCCCTTTTCAGAAGGAGCTAGGGTTCAATTTTTTAAAACTCTTTAGGCATTTAAATATCTTTCTGAAAAGCCAGCATTTTAGAAACCAAAGTCCTATTGTACTAGACTTGTGAGTCAAGTAGGTGTTTTGAAAATGTTAGTTCACATCTTAAGTAAAGACATTACTGTGAGCTTTTAATAATCTCATAGCTAAAAAACATTATTGGGATCCTGTTGCATGTAAACTGATTTTTACCTCTTGGTGACCCTTGCCTGATTTCTGTAGTTTTCTTTTGCCACGATGTATTTGTTTTCTGGCCTATTTGTTTAATTTTTTAATATTATGTTAATGTTGTTTTATGTTTTTATGAGTAAGTACATTCAGTTTTCACTTTACTGAGACTTCTAGTTCTGTGGGGCAGCGGCCATTTTTTGTTCTGTGTTTATACACTGCATACCACAGAGAGGTTCTGGTCCATGACTAGGGTACCAAAGTGATACAAGTAATGATGGAATCGGATCTCGTGGTAGAGGTGTAATCTTTTATTAGACCAACTAGATTTTTGAAAAAAATTCCTTTAATATTTTATAATTTATTTGCAAAAATCTAGTTGGTCTAATAAAAGATATCAACTCTACCACGAGTTCTGATTCCTTTTGCTTCTAGACCGATATGGCTACAACTTGGATACCTGACACAAGTAATAATGCACACTTGTTAATAGTAACATTCCCCTAAGCCTGTGTTAAAGCCTAATGCATTTGTGTGAGGTCTATTATAAGTTTGATTATTGTCATGGGCCTTGGCTTTGTATTAATACATTTTTAATACAAAATCTAAGTCAGAGGTGGCCAAGGGGCACAAGTGGCAGGGGCAGCCCCTGTGTGACACATGGCAGATCAGAGAGAGAGCAGGGAGAACAGCAGCAGATAGGATAGGGAGCAAAAAGCAGAACAACAAATGGGACAGGAGACACAGGACAAGAAGCAGAAAGCATCGCAGCAGCTCAGGGAGGGAAATGGGTTTGTGTGGTACTTGGGGTGGGTGTGAAACTTAGCTGGTGGCATGCCTGCCAAAAAGGTTGCCCCCCACTCATCTAAATGAATAAATATGGAGTGTCAGGAAGAAAATAGGGTTGTAGTATAACTCGATCTGTGAATGCAGATGCAGCCATTGTGTTGCATAAAACTGGATTGAGAACTACAGATGCAGTTCAGAAGGAATAAATGTAATTAGTGAACCTGCTAGTTAAGAGATTATACCAGGTCTTGCTCAACTGTGCATATGGGGAACAGATTTACAGTAGTTGTAGATATATTTTTAATTTATTTGAACTTTCAGCTAACTATTAGATTTACTCCCATTTTAAGTAGGTAAAGATTTATTTTCACTGTTGTAATATTACAACAGTGTAAGTAATTACTGTAAATAAACAGTGTAAACAACTGTTTATTTACTTACAATAAAACTAATTGTATAGCAGTAGAAACTATGCTAATTAGAAAGTTTATTAGCTGCATGTCATTAATTTGTCAGTGGTCTTTCAAACAAAGTTAAATTACTCTGTTTAAATCGCATGTGATTGTCGGTGTGTAGTTAAGGGAGCATGTGAACAGCCTTCTTGAAAAGAATGGATGCTGTTACAGCGGGTAGTACGTCTTATGTAAGAGAAGTATTTTATGCATGTTAGGAGTAAATTACATATAAAGAAACCTGAATATTAAGATTTCAAGCTGCTACCCCTGCATTTCCATATCAGAAATTGATTTCATGATGTGACTTGGAAATGTAGGCAGGAGAAGGGCAGAGGAAATCTGGTGAATTCATACCAAAACCTCACTTTTTAATACAGTGAAAAATTCTTGGAACATCAGTAAAAAGACTCAACAACTGAAGTTTATGCTTGTCAAGGGTCTTGTCATACCTGAAAACTGCTCAGGTGATGGTTTGAAAATCAGAAATGCAAACATGTGAGAAGGCATACTGGGTAGGACTGTCCGAAGCTTTGGTCCCTGATTCAATTTGGTGGAGATTCAGCCCGATTCGGTGGCTGAACCTCTGAATCTGAATTGAATCAGAGGACCCTTTAATCTCTCTGAATTGAATCAGAACCCTCTGAATCGATATGGAGAGATTCAGAGAGATTTGGCAATTCGGACATGGACACAACGTTAAATATTTTTTCTACACGCCTCTAGGTAGCAGGCGGCTGTGAATACTGCAGTGGTGGGGTGCATGGAGCATCCGACAGAAGCGCAGGGTGGTCCCCAGCGCACACGGCAGCAGACCCAGAAGTGGGCCAGAAGCACTTCCGGTCTGCTTTTGGGTCTGCTGGGGAGCATGCTGGGGGGCCCCCCTGTGCCCTCCCAGCTCAGCAACTGGTGCCTCCTGGGTCTGGGGCGGGGGGCACCTGGGGTCCTCCCATGGCCAATCACCAAGCCGGGAGGATGCAAGGGGGCCTCCCCAGCAGACCCAGAAGTGGACCGGAAGTACTTCCAGTCCACTTCCGGGCGCCACCCAGCACGTGGAGAGCCCCCCTGTACTCCTGTGGGATGCTCCATCTGCCCCAACATCACAGTGTTCACAAGTCATGCTGGTACCTCGAGGTATGTAGAAAAAACATTTAAAGCTGTCTCTATGTCCGAATCGCTGATTCTCTGAATCAGCTTTGAATCTTCAGATTCGGATTCGGCTGAATTGAATCAGGGACAGTGAGCTGAATCAGTGAATCAAATCACTGTCCCTGGTTTGAGCCAAATCTGAATCGAATAGGGCCCGCTTCGCACACTCCAAATATGGAGCAGTTGGTGAGCCTATCAGTGCGGCAACGGATTCTGCAGTGTTTCAAACTATATCCCTGATGTATATAGTGCATATCTCATTGTAAATTATTTTATGTCAGGAAGAAGAGAAGCTAGTAAAAGTGCAGCTAATATTTTGGTTGAGAAAAGTGCTAGCATATTGAGAGCTGAGTCCATCACTGCAGTACAGGAAAGAGGTAAGAAAGAACAGTGCTCCATATATCTGCGTTGAATAGCATTTAATAATGATATCTGTGTTTACCTTTTAAACCAACTGTTACAATATACTACATCAGTAGACACCCTTTTCCGGCTGTGGGCTGTGATGACCCACCTTGGGTCAGAGGCAGGCAGGGGCTAGGACTCGCCTACAGTCTGCAGTGTAAACTACTCTTTTCTAATCCGTCTGAATGTTTTTGTATTCATTTTTATTCCTACTAAAGTTTTGGTCTCACTGATACCCCTTTAGCAAAATTATACTTGTGTGTGGTTAAAAATATTTTTTTACTGTCTCATTCAATGTCTCTTTGTACAGTCCTTATGAGACAGGGTAAAAAAGTGTCTAACACCTTCTATGTGCTATCCATTACCTTGTTTTATACCTCTGTGGCTATTTTATTTCTTCAAAACAGTTTTAGTCTTTTCCATGCCTACAGTCTTTTAAAATTAGAAGTCTGGACCTATTTTTTTTTTTTTTCTTTTTTTTTTTTTTGAGGTGTGGTAATATGAGATGAATATATTCATTCCAGGTGAAGACATGCAGTTGGTTTGTGCAATGCTCTTATTTTTAGTGTTTTCTGTCCCATTTTTTTTTATTTGTCCTTGCCATTTTTTTTTTTTGGCTATGGGTTCTCAGCAAGGAATGATTTCCTCCCCTCTATCTCATTGGGCTGTTCACAAATAACATCCCAGGTCTTTTTTGTTTTTGAGTGATTGTCAGTTTCGAATAAAAAATATTCGTAAATAGTTTAAATAGTTCCTCCAATATGCATTGCATTGGAAGGATACATAACATTGTCTCAGTACTATTGTTAGCTAGATTTCAAGTCAGCAGGTAACAAGAGTTAGGAGTCAGCTCCACAAGCCAGTTGAAATTGTGCATACCCAAAGCATAAGATACCTGATTATCCCAGTGCCTTTCTGGCTGCTGATTATGATGGAGTATGTATGCTTCCCTACACCAACTGAGGAGATTCAGATCAGAGATTTAGGTCACTGACCAAAAGGCCTTCTTGGATTGCCTAAATTACCCTGTTCAAACCCAATATTTATACCTGTTCCCCTTAACAACATTTTCTGATTGGTCACAATCAAATTCTTTTTATACTGCTAAAGCCCTGGAAACTCCAAAGAACCAATTTGTCAATTAACTAAAATTTACGTTGTGAAACCAGAGAGAGAGAATTTCTTATCTTTTCATGTTGTTTTTTTTTTTTACAAGACTGCTTTTAGTTCTGTACATACACCTGAGAAATTAAGGTTCTTGACAGATTAAATTGACTCCAGTTGTTTTAGCCTGGACTGGCAAAAATAAAGGTGTCTGTCTACTGTATTAACATGTGAAGAGCAATCCAGAAGTAGATATTTTGTTACTTGATTCATTTCAAGATATATATTGGTAGTATTCTTTACTTTCTTGATAACTCTTGATGGTTTTTACTACCAAATTAGTTACTGAAACTGAATCAGTCTGTCCATTAGCTATGCAATCCAGAACACCTATTATATGTTTTAGTAATTACTTTGATATTACTGGGTAAACACTGCATCATTGAAAAAAACTACCATCTCATTTAAACAAACCAAACAAAACTATCATGCTAGTAGAGAATGATAGATATTGGGAAACTCCTCCTGAATAACATACGCCTTACTGCATTTGCCAGTAATTTACATAGTTCAGTCAGTGGTCAGATAAATAGCCTTTTGTAAATGTATAATGTCGTTTATTTGTACTCGGGTGACTTTGAGGTGCATCCTCATTTACCAAACAGGTAGTGCTGTGGCCTGTTTAGTGCAGCAGTTTATTACAAAACATTTATTACATCTTTAACTTCTTCCTACTGTAACCTCTGTTATTCTAGGAGTACTGGAAACTAATAGCACAACAGATCATGTTTCAGATGAAACAGCTGCTAGTGTATTCCGTGAGAAAGCTGAACCAGGAGCTGCAATAAAACAGCAAGGTAAGAAAAAGAAAAAAAAACATGTTCATTGCCTCACAATACCAAATTTAATTTACTGTTAAATCAGAAGTGTCAAAAAAAGGCCTGCAGAGCCATCCAATCCAGCTCATGGGTCAATGGATTGACACCATGCACTGGTCCAGTCCTGCATGCTGCACACAAATTGGACCCAGCACCACACAACCTGCACTCAGCATAGGGAGTTATTCCGGGACACATGCTGTGTGCAGTGCCCTGTCCACGCACTGGCGTGGGGCTGGTCTGGATTAGGCCATGCTGGAGCCAGCACACAGGACTGGTCCAGCAGGCATGGCATACAGCATGTTCCCCATGCACCTGTGTTGCATGCAGCATGTGAGGCCATTTCATCCCCACAAACTGCATGCACTGGCCCTGGAGCTCACTGTGCACATAGCATGTTAGGTTGGCATGGGAAATGTGCTGCCTATGGCATGCTGGCTAGACCCAATGCTTCACAGCACAGTGTCCACAGTGCTGACTGCATGTACTGCCCAGATCGATACCCTTTGTTGTCTGTAACACTGGGTCCAGCCTGTATTCTACGGACAGCAAATGCTTCCTGCCAGCCTTGCATGCTGTTGCACAGTGAACCCTGGGGCCCATGTATGCTGCACACAGTCCGTGGGCTGGACCTGGCACCATGGGGGCTGCACAGGGGGTCCATTCCACTCTGACCCACAGACCATCTCAGGGACCCTTATCCAGCCCATGGTCCTGGATGAGTTTCATGCCCTTGTGTTAAATTAATTTAGGAGGGTAAACTTTATTCACTTTTTTTCTTATTTAGCTGCTCTGCTTCCCTGTAATGTAATCGTGCCAGTGAAGTTTGTTATTCTGAAATCACACATTTCCTACAAAAACATTTACTTTGTATTGTTTCCTGTCGTCCTGTGATGAAAATGGTTTTAAAATTATGAAGACACTAGGTAGCATGTGTGGTAGGATAAGTCACATTTGCTACAAAGTTGTATTCCTGAATACTGTGACAATAGTTATTTATCCCTTGATGGATATCAAAGAATTAGTTTTATTTTTTGGTCTGTTTACATTAGATTTCTTTCTTTAGGGAGCTAACCAATTACCATTTTGCTCCCTAAAAACTATGCTTTGTTGTTGGGAAACCATGAAGAGGACAACTGAAAATATATTTGTGGAAGGGAATTGGACAATTTCAGGATACCATTTAAATAACTGAATTTCCTTCTGTATATTTCTACATTATTGTAACCTGCTAACCCAATACAAGATTTGAAAAGAAAATTCCATCCCCACATTGTTATTATTCTGTTCCTTTAAACAGCTTAAGGACTTCCCAAGTGGTAAAGTATCAGGTAGTTACCTTTATTATATGGCATTCTTGCAGATTATTTCCTGCCAGGTCTGGAGTTATATGTAAATGTAGAGAAAAGACCTGAGATTAAAGCTAAAAACTGGGCCTGTATTTTCTCCACATCTAAACACTGTCTAGTGGGAGAGTTGAGGCCATGTTTGGGGGAGATCAAAGGCTGGGTCTATTACACCTGTGGCCTTAAATAAGGCCTGGCAGCCTTGCTAGTCTAATAAGATGGCAGTTGACCAAGTCATTTGATACATTTTACACAGGTGGGATTGCTTCTCAGGCCAATTCCCCTTAATCTGGTTGAGTGCAGGAAACAGTATTGTATATTGGATTCTAGGAGACATGAATTTCAATAATTTTATACACTTTGCTTTAATTAGAATATATATAAGAGCAGCACACACAACTTTGCTAGTGGTTTGGAGCCAGATATTTAGCTGATATAAATAGGCTTAACTTCATTGTTTTCACAGTGTTTTCTTCTGTGATTAGTTCAGTACATAATATGACAGATCTGTGCATCTTATTTCGGTGCAGACATTATAAGATGCCATCTAGAATTTTTAAATTTCAACTGCTGTGAAAATGATTAATGAATTAAACTATTTGGTAATGCCAATAACTTATTGTCAAGTTGTAAGCATATTCAGCAGCTATCAAGCCTCTCACATCCCATATCTTCTCACAGATTTGTTTTCTTGTGTATAAGTATAGACAGCAGTGTCTAAAGAAAGAATCATTTAAATCTCCTTTGAAACACATTCTTTATTGGCTCAGTTAAATCTCTCTGCAGAAATAAACCATAAAAATCATTGACAATGAGTTTAAATGGCATGTTCCACTGCACGCGCGGTTTCAAGGCTGTAGGCATATTTCCTTTAGATGTGTTTTCAGCACTGAATTTTTTTGCGATTTCCTAGTCGGCCTAATAAAAGGTATCATCTCTGAACCAAGAGTTCTAGAGTTTAGCATTTTTTTTGGCACTGAATAAGGCATTTACAGAATATCATATACTCACTTGCTCTCCTGTATGTTTTCCTTGGTTGCGTGTCAGCCAGTTTTTCTTTATTTCAAAAGATTAAATCTTAACTATAATATCCACTGCCACTGTAACTGCCATCAGAAAATTAAGTGGACTCTTCCTAATTACCTTCTCTCAAGAAGTAACAGCCCTTTTTCTTTTACGATATTTATTAGGAGCCCTCATTAGCTAGCTTATGGTAACAGGTTTTTAAATATGAAAGAATATTTTTCAGAGATACAGCAGAGAATTTGCATACTTATTTCCCCTGTTTTCATCCACTTTTCGTAACTAATATGCTTCAATTTTTTAGCCACTGAAGCAGGGAGAGAGGGGTCATTCTATTTCCTGTGGTCTGTATGACCATATAAAGCATAGTTCTGCACTAAAGTATGGAGATTCTGTAAAATTTCTTATGATAAATATGTCTGTTTCTGAATAGAGTTAGAGTTCCTTGATATGTTCTGCTTTTGCTGACAACAGTCACTTTCTTTCTTAAAGGTATCAGGGCTATTCAACCTTTGGCCCATGGGCCAAATGTAGCCTGCAGAGCCTTGCAGTCCAGCCTCTGAGGCTCCCCCCGGGTTGGTAATTTGATGGCAGGGAAGCAATGACCATTAATATGGCCACCTCTGCCTCCTCCTGCCAAATTCCCAAACCTTAACTCCCAGATGGCGGGTCAAAGCTGGGCTGTGCCCCCTTTCCGCTGTGGGGCTGGGCCATGCTTCTGCCCTCCACATCTAGATTGGGACATTGGGACTAGGGCCATGCCCTTGCCTCCTCTTTCTCCCCCCCGTCCCTGACTGGGCCACACCCCCTTCCCTTCCCATGGGGCCAAGCCATGCCCGCTTTCCTTACAGGGCCAGATTAGGGCCAGGTTGCCCACCTTGCACCTCTCCATGTGGCCAGATGGTTCCCACTGCACTTGCCTCAGGTACCAGATTAGGATGACTGGCCAGATTTGGCCTGCAGACAGATGGGGTACTTGCCCATCTGGCCAGCTGGTGGGGAAAGGTTGAGCACCATTGTATTATACCATATTGGTAGCTAGACTTAAGTGAATGGTCCCACGCCTCACTCAGTATCTTTTTAGTGGGTAGCTTAGAGAAACCTTATCACGTGAGAAACATTAGCCCTGGCAGATGCTTAAATACTATTTTGTACATTTGCTACAGTATATTTCAGTTTACCTGATAATTTTCATTGAAGTTGCCCTTCAGGCACAGTTAATATAGTCTATCTAAAATAAATAATCAAAGTGGAATTAAAAAGATTCTGTGTTTTACACTTCCTCAAGTACCTTTGACAGTCCCACTCAGTGACCTCCCCAAAATTCACCTTTTTATCGGCCATTTATAGAAATGGAATTTATTTTTTTGTATAGCACACCTGGTTCTTACAGTACTTTCAAGGGATCATTGGTGTTTGTGGTTACTCTTAAATGTTTGACATCCTCTGATCATTCACTGAGTTTTTCTCTAGTGTTTTGTCAGCGTACATGTAGACTATTAAATATGTTCTGAGGAGAGATGTCTCCTATGGTTTGGTTGTTTGAAGCAGGACATT